AGAGAGAGAGAGAGAGAGAGAGAGAAACATACAGGAAGATTAATTCTTTCTTTTTCCTTTTTATTTCCACAATGGATTGAATCTAATCTTTTATATCTAATTCCGATAAAACGAACATACAGATTGCAACTTTACAAGAGATAAGAAAATTATTATAATTGCGCGTGATCGAGGAGAGGGAGAAATCAAAGAAAAGAAATAAAAGAAAACAAACAAAAAGAAAGAAAAAAATTTTACATAATTATAAAAATTATTTATACGATCGTATATTATGGAAAATCCTCGGAAACGATTAGAATATACGCTTTGGTCTAATAATTGAAGTTGACAATAAAAAAAAAAAAATCAAATTATACGTAAATAAATAATACCATGATATTTTATTGAATCGAACGAATTAATATTTCGTTTTTTTTTCTTTTATTTTTTCTTTTTCTTTTTTTCTTTTTTTCTTTTTTTCGTTCTTAACATTGGAATTTTTTCGATATTTTTTATGAAAATAAATGACACCATAATCATACCACTATTTCTAATAATATCGGAGAATTGGTAAAAATAAATATTGCTATATAGTAATTTATATGTAAGTTAATGGCATTACATTGTACGTTATAATATATTATTGAGAAATAAATAATATACATATATTATTGAAATTATATATATATATATATATTATATATATATATATATATATATATATATATATATTATTGAGAAATAAATGTTTAATTAATAAAATGAAGTAAAAAGAAAAAAGGAAAAAGCAAAAAAAAAAGGAAAAAAAGCAAAGAAACAAAATTACCGAATCAGAAGTTGATTTATTTCGAATATAAAACATAAAATGAAGATTCCGACATTTTACAAAATTGACCAATCAAATGCAATAATTGTCGAAATTTTCATGATAACGTCGAGAATTAATTATATTAATTAATCCGTATAAATTGAAACTAGGTGATAAGATTCGAAGAAAAAAAAAGAGAAAAAAAAAGAGAGAGAGAGAGAGAGAGAGAGAGAGAGACGGTTTGTTATCTAATCTATCGAAAAATCGGTATAATTTCTTTCTTTCTTTCTTTCTTTCTTTCTTTCTTTCTTTCTTTCTTTCCCCCCCCCCCCTTTCTTTTTCAACAAATTATAAATATTCTTTATTAATCTTACCCCTCCTCCGTATCCTCTTCCTTCACGGCCTCCTCTCGAATATTTTCTTCTGTCATCACGAATAACAAAAGTTTTTATTTTCTTCTTTACTTGATCACGATTTATTTATTAGATATTAGATCGACGAAGAGTAAGAATATTTAAACAATTTATTTTCCTCGAAAGAACACAATTTTCTCTCTCTCTCTCTCTCTCTCTCTCTCTCTCTCTCTCTCTCTGTTTGTCGTCGTTGTTTTAAATAATTATTTTAATATTCTTTATACTCTTGATAATTTAAAATAAATAAATAAATAAATAAATAAATAAATGAAAGTATGATAATTATCGAACTATCACGATTATATTATATAAACTATTGCGCGATGATCTTTCACTCTCGAATTTCTTACTGTCTCAGACGAAACTAGTTATTTCGAAAGCTTCAGGGAATCAACGAGAAGGTAACGTCGTTGTTAATATCCTATATGGCTTCTTCACCTAGGGAAGCCGTTACAAATTCTCTATTCTATTTTGTATAATTCGATAATTACATTACCTATAACGATCTACGATGACGACGACGACGGCGACGGCAACGGCGACGGCGACGGCGACGGCGACGACGACGACGATATTTCTTGCTTATGTATATGTAAATATATATATATATATATATATATATATATATATATATATGTATTAGAGTAAGAAAGGAATAATATATATATTATATGTGTGAGTGTGTATGTGTGTGTGTACACACATATGGCCGATAGCAAACTTTCGATATGAGCTTTTCCGACGAATACTTACACGTTCACGATAAGTAAAGAAAGAAAGAGATAGATAGATAGACAGATAGAGATAGATAGAGATAGACAGAGATAGAGATAGGAAGAGAAGAAAATCGTATAAGACAATTCGTTGAAATATGTTGGCTTCCTTCTCTTGGTATCACGTGCTGTTTCTTAATCTTGTTTTGTATAGGATTCTCATTCCCTTTTTCTTTCTCTTTTTCTTTCTCTTTCTCTTTCTCTTTCTCTATCTCTCTTTTTTTCTCTCTCTCGTTAAAAGTACATTATGAATATTATATATTATTTACTATCTTTTAAATTTATTTTTGTTTGGAAACGAATGCGAATGGGTGAGTGTGTGTAATTGAAAAAGAA